AAAAATATATCTAAAACTATGGGAATAAAATTTCTCTTTTTAAGTGCCCCCATGCAGGATGGAAACTACAGACCTTCAGTTTACACGACTGACGCTCTACCACTGAGCTGAGCTAAAGGGGCTTGCAGGAAAGGCCTCAAATCAGTACATTAATCATTTGATAACGATATGCATATATTGTTCATTTTGACTACCCAACCCACCCAAGTAATTGAGACGCCATTACGCATATGCAAATGCAAAATCATCCTGCTAACAATGACTTTCTATGAATTTGATTGGACTTGGGGAGCGTGCTTAGGCACAGAACGATGCTTTGAGATACGGTTAGGTGTGTAAATTTGAACCCTCTCGGTCCACTCGGATCCAGGCATGTGCACATTGGGACAAAATTCGAGCCGGCTCACGAGTTAAAAAATTAACTTTAGACCCAAACTCAAGTTTAGAGATATTCTGGTCTCGAGCGAACTGACGGGTTGGGTCTCTAGCCAAGCCAGCGAGCTTAGGCTTGGCTCAAACTTGGGACAAGCCTACGCCCAGGCCTGACCTAACCATTTTTTAATTTTTTTTCTATTTTTTCTATTAAAAATTTGTTTTTTTCACCAAAAATGACATTAGGTCTTTGACAGGTCAAGTCTTGAGTGGGCCTTAAGCAGGCCGATGAGTCAGGCCTAGCGGGTTGAGCCCACGAGTTGGGTCGGTCTTTGAAATAGCCGACCAATTCCAAGCCCAAGGTCTTGGGTTAGGCTCAAGGAAAAGACCTGGACGGGCTAGTGAGCCAAATTTACACCCCTACATAGAATCTTGTCTTAAGCCCATATCATTAATTCGAACCATTTATATTGTAATGTTCGTTAAATAAATCATCCATAAAAGAAAAAATCAAATTAATTGGGAATTTATAACCTCAAAACAAAACCACATTTATTTTTTAAAAAATAAATGGTTAATATAATTTTGATAATTTATTTTAAAACAAATAAAATTTGATCATGGGATTACACATGTCTGATTAACTTAATTTCTTACATGGATAATATGTTCGACGAATGTTTCAATTGACCGGTTCAAAATTCATATCATCAAAATAGACTCGAGACAAGACTCCATAGTACCTCACACCACAAGGCACAACTTGTTCCCCGATTTGAATTTGATGAGTGAAAAATAAATAAAAATTAAAATGGTTGTTAAATGTAATTTTTAATGTTTTAGTCTTATTAAATTATGTAACTTATATACATATAAATATATTTACTATTAAGAAAGGATGGGGAGAAAAAAATCCATATAAAATAAAACAAGTGATGTTAAGACAAAATGAAAGGAGGGAAAATTATCATTCCCAAAATTACGCTTTATCCAATTTTTGTCACAAGGATAGATATAGGATGTGAGGCTTCTGTGATAGCGTGTCTTGATTTTTTTTAATAACCTGTATTATTTATTTTGTAAAATTTATTGAACATATTATTTATAAAAAAAAAAATCAAATTAATTGAATATACGTAACTCTGTTATAGATGTCCAATTAATTTAATTTTTTAATATATAATCTATTCAATAAATCTTACAATATAAACTATTCGAATCATAAAAATACATTCATGACATGCCCCAACAGCCTCTCACAGCGCGACATATACTCCAATTCAATAGATATATCCCTCGTAACCTTCAAGTGGGGGCACTGGCCAATCATTCATTAATCAATCGACATTCAAGTGGGGGTACTTCCAAATTTGTGATTGTTTACCATACTACTAAAATTGGGATTTAGATCCTCACCCTATAATTGGTATTAGTCGTGCAAAACATTGCAAGCAATTTGGTGCGGTGTGATATCCATTCATAAATCTCACCCAAAATATGTACTTATAATTAAAAAAAACCATGCATTATAAATGTTTGGCACACACATGAGGCTCAAAAATAAATTAATGCTATATATTATTAAAATATTATCATAACTTTTTAGTTAGAACATAGTTTTTTTTTTTATGTAACAGGATGTATTTCATTATTTTTAAAATATAACAAGTTTTATATATTTTTAAAACATAATAAATTCTATATATAGCATAACATTTAGAGAAAATATCAAATTAGTGGTTTTTGACAAAAAAAAAATAATTATAAATCAGCGATATACTTTATAAATATTAATAATTATAATTATAATTTTTTTACAATTTTGTAATTATTTTTGAAAAGTTGGACTAAAACGTAATTTCCCCTAACATTTACTATGTGGAGGGAAATTCTACTATACACAATTTTGAAAAGGGTATACTCTATGCACTCTAGTTATTCCTTTTTTTTTTCTTTAGTTATAATCAGTTTTCTTCTTTAGTTATGACTCATGAGATTTTTAGTTAGATTTCATGTGGTGTTTGATTATGACCTTTTATTTTATTTCAGTTATGACTCAGTTCTTCTTTAGTTATGTGGTGTATATGGTACAATCTTACCCCTACGTGGATACATAGATTTATATTAAAAATAAGAATAAATAAATAAAATAAACTTCTATAATCACATGATTACTTTATATTTGTAAAGAATGTGATCTGATTTGGTTGCTATTTAAATTTGATCAATTTAATTTTTTATGTTAATGCTTAATTTTTTATATTAATGGTTTATTACATGAATTTTACTAATGGATTGAATCGCCGAGACAAAAACCAATGGTGATCCCACAACATTGTGAGCTGGATCATCCAGTCCAAGTTCAAAACATAATATTGTCTTTGTATTATTAATTTGTATTTGTAAAGAATGTGATCTGATTTGGTTGCTATTTAAATTTGATCAATTTAATTTTTTATATTAATGATTTATTAGATGAATTTTACTAATGGATTGAATCACCGAGACAAAAACCAATGGTGATCCCACAACATTGCGAGCTGGATCATCCAGTCCAAGCTCAAAATATAATATTGGCGTTCTATTTGTTTAATGGATTTAAATAGTGATTCAAAAAAAAATAAAAAATAAAAATAAAATATGAATAAAATATAATTATATTATATATATATATTATACAATTTTTTTTTTCTTATTGCCTTATTTGGCTAGAGGTCATTTGGCTAAAATAATCAATAAATTAAATTAAATTAAATTAAAATAATCAATAAAATAAAATGGCACATTCAACCTATAATAATTTCACTTTTTTCTCTCACAATTATCAGATCAATTATATATTCAAAAAAAAAATACAATAACGATCATTCTAAACATAATTTTTTTTAATCAAAATAACTAAATACCTAACTAAAATAACTTAGGCCTCTCTTGAGAAGTGGGTTAAAAATTATTTTTCAACTTTTAATCTATTTTAAATCATATCGGCCTTGTTTGGTTTATATTTGAGAAACATGTTTTGAAATAAAAAGTACGAAAATTTGTTTGGTTTGGTTTTTTTTTAAAAGATGTTTTGAAAAATTATTTTGAGAGAGAGTTTTGGAAAAAAATGATTAATTTAATGTATATGAGAGAGAGATTTGTTTGGAAAATTTGTAAACCAAACAAGTTTTGAAAAAAAAAAAATTGAAAAAATTTGTTTGGTTTGATTACTTTTGAAAACTTATTTGTAGAAAATTTTTCCCAAATTTTTTTTGAGAAACACAAACCAAACAAGGTCATCATCTCTCACATTTTTTATACATTTTTTTTTAAAAAAATTAAAAAATTAACTTTTAACCATCTTATTAAAAACCTCTTTATTCTGAGGCGGGCCAAATGGAAAATATTTGGAAAGAGCCTTGCGATTTCGCAAGGGATAGGATGTTGACAGGGCAACCACAAGACTTTATTGGCTCTCTCTGTCTCTCTCTGCTTAGCTGTCGTTTCTAGTGATTTCTACCGTAAATCCCTGTGGTTCCATTCCACCCAACAAATACCCCACTTTACCATTCTACCATTGTCTCATAATCTTTACAGAAATGTTACATTTCTCTAGTAAGGGAGTTTTAAAATAGCACTAATAATATAAAAAATTTAAAAAAAAAAAATTAAAGCCAAAATATCATATTATATGAAACTCACACACTAATTAAAATTCTTAATTTAGAACTCTCATTCTTTTTTTCTAATCTTTAATATAATCAATTGAAAATTCAAACAAATCGAATTAGAAATAGAGCGTTGTTTTGGAAATTAAGATATTTAATGACTTTTTAATTTTTTATAAAAGACATGTAAAAATTTAAAAAAAATAATTAATTTTTTTGTTATGACTTTTTTACTTTTTTTTGATTAAAATTTCAATTGTCAAAATAGACTAGTCTTATTAATCTGTCCACTAAAATTCTTGAAAACATAGAAGAGGTATAAAACTCTAGAATATTAATGTGTGTTGTGTATTTAATTCTGTATAATGAGATTCATACTTAAAAATTTGAATAATCTTTTTGTTAGATGGATTGAATAATCTTTTGAATAAACTTTTTTTTGAGCTACCTATTGGTCCTGTTTGGTAGAGCTGTGGGAAAGTGCTTATAACTTATGCCTTAACAGCTTATAGCTTATAACTATGAACATATACTGATTTCTGACTTATAAATTAAGCATCTCCTGCCCCACTCAAAGAATAAGTTGATTTCTGACTTACAAAAAGCTATAAGCTGCATTGTTAAGTTAAACCAAACACATCAAAATAGCTTAAATTAAGCTGAAAGCTAAAATAAGCAGCTTTTAAGCTGCACCAAACAGGCACATTATCATTGCTGTTGAAAAATATATATTGATACCAACCGTACAAGACAAAGAAGTAAAGCTTTATTTGCTCCGACCATTTTGTCTTGTAAGGAAGGATATCCAAATCATGGGAAACTGACAGATGTTGCTCTCTAATTGGTCTTTAATTACTTCTCTTTAAATTTTACTCTGATTTAATTTTCTCTTTCCTTTCTAACAACTACATCCAAACCCCTCCTAGAACATGTGTATATCGCCATATAATTAACCAATAATGTTCACATCATTCATATACACAGTAAAGTTCATAGGTATATTAGCACCCACTTGTACCACATACCACCTGTGGCTTTAGGTATCTTGGAGGACTTTGGTGCCTAATTAAAAAGATGCCATTGACAAAGGCCATTCCTTCAAAGTCTATGGTCTTCAGAATCAATCTTGCTTTTCTTGCTTTCTTTCTTGTCATCTATGTCGTGCTTCTTCTCCGGCCATCGTCTCCGGTCTACCGTGGAAATGCACCATCCTTGGTTAGTTGCTCATTGCGGCAGTGCCATCACAAGGTAAGGTGAGCTCGCTCAAGTGTAGTTGTTGCATGAGTACACTCATTTTGGTTAGAGAAATATATCACAATTTGTTTTTTCTTGATTACCCTTTTAATCACTGATAGAGATATGACTACATGCATAGATCGTGCTCTCTCCAGACCCATTTCAGCAAGAACATCGTGCACTAACTAGGTAGTTTGTCCTTTATTACCAATTTTTTTTTTTTTTTTTTTCGGCAAAACAAAAAACTTTATTGATGAAAACCAAACAAAGTAAAGAGGATACATCAATAAAGAGGAGCTTGGAGCTAAGCGAAGCTCCAACCTCCTAGTTGGTGAGTCCTTTATTACCAATTTGGTTAGTTTTTAGGCACATTGCTTAATAGTTAAAGTTTTATTGACAATTAATGACTTTAAATGGTATTGTAACTTGTTTGTCTTCTCTATTTTTTGGTTTCTCTTGATTGGTTTCTCACCAATCTTGGGTCAAGTGCTAGCAAATGATAGTGCTTCTTTAGTAGTGTCAACCTAGTTGGGATTGTTAAAGTTAGCGTTGATACTTTTTGTACTTCCCTCTTTACTGATATAAGTTTTTGCATGTATTGCTTTCTTCATCAATAAATTTCTTTTTACTAATTAAAAAAATGGTATCGTAACTTGGGTTTAATAAAATTCTGCAATATTCGCCTGATATACATTGTTTGGTGACTTAGCAAATTTGATTGAACTTGATTTTTGTTTTAGGTGGACAATGGGATTAAGATGAAGTCGGTGTTGGAAGAGAGACAATCCAGCCATGCCAAGCCAAAGAGAAAAATACTAAAGAGAGAGAAGCCAAGCTTCTTGGATGAAATGGGCAAGGGAATGAAGATTGGAATGGTGAATATGGAAGAAGAGGACACGAGTGAATGGGACATGCATGGACAAACAATACCAATTTACTTTGAGCAAGTTTCAGAGTTATTTCAATGGAAAGACTTGTTTCCAGAGTGGATTGACGAGGAAGAAGAGACCGAAGGTCCATCGTGCCCAGAGATACCAATGCCAAGCTTCGACAATTATGAATATATGGACATGATAGTGGCCAAATTGCCATGCAAAGAAGGGTTGAGGAGAGATGTGTTTAGGCTCCAAGTGCATCTGATAGCGGCGAATTTAGCGGTGAAGAGAGGGAAAAGAAGAGGATGGAATGAGAAGACAAGAATGGTGTTTTTGAGCAAGTGCAGGCCAACGCTAGAGCTGTTTCGATGCGATGATTTGGTGAGACAAGAAGGGGATTGGTGGTTCTATGAGCCGGAAGTGGCCAGGTTGGAGCAGAAGGTTTCGTTGCCGGTGGGGTCATGCAATCTGGCTTTCCCCCTCTGGGGCAAAGGTGCCGTTCCTAAATTTCTTGTTCTAGTTATTAGTGCTGAATTTTAGTAATATTATTGAATCACAAAAATTTCGTGAAAAAAAAAAAAAATTTTGTCTACGATGTGTCCTTATAGTGCAAGCAACACTGCATTAGGAGAGTTTTTGTGTTCTTTTTCCTATTAAAAGAGATATATAATACATTGAATGTTGCGTTAACAGTACTACATTCATTTTGAATGAATTTATAATCTACAAATAAATATAATGTTGTTACCCTACATTTTGATAATTTTTCATATAAATATTTCTTTTACTCATACAAAAATTATTTAAATTGTGTTCAAAATTATGGAAAATGATGTGGTTGATTTGCGGATATATTACTTTAAAACAAAAAATAATAATAATAAAATATGCCTTCAAATAACAAAAATGTAACTTCTATTACAAGATTTTGTATAAAAATAATGAAAAAAAATGGGATGCTTAAATTTTATTTTTAAATAATATTACCTTAAATAAAAAAAAATTGTACACAATTGGTATACATCCTATGTCCTTTTATTTCAATTTTATAAGTATATTATTTTAGTAGAATCCCAAATAACTCCTATCTTATGGCATTACTTTTAAATTGATGCTTTTAAAAAAATAAAATCTTATGTGTCAATTCATAATTAAATGAAACATTATTTAAGAAATTAGACAATGAGGGAGCCGTTTACAGTGTAGCATCTTACTAATGTCAACTTTTCTTAGCGAGTATCGAGGTACCAAAATTACCAACCACTAACCAACGTTTGATTTTTCAGGAATCAACGAAGTCTACAATCTATCCAAGATTATCGCAACCAACACAACCACCGTACCCAAACGTGAAGCCTACGCTACAGTTCTTCACTCGTCCGAATCCTACGTTTGCGGCGCAATAACCCTAGCCCAAAGCCTCCTCCAAACCGGAACCAAACGCGACCTAATCCTACTCATCGACAACTCCATCTCCATTCCCAAACGCCAAGCCCTCGCCTTTGCGGGTTGGAAGATCCGAATCATTTCCCGAATCCGAAACCCGAAAGCCCAAAGAAACTCCTACAACGAATACAACTACAGCAAGTTCCGACTCTGGCAACTCACCGACTACGACAAAGTCATCTTCATAGATGCCGACATCATCGTACTCCGAAACCTCGACCTCCTCTTCCACTTCCCCCAAATCTCCGCAACTGGAAATGACGGCGCGATCTTCAATTCCGGCATCATGGTCATCGAACCTTCGAACTGCACCTTCGAGATCTTCATGCGGCGGCGGAGAGAGATAACCTCGTACAACGGCGGCGATCAGGGGTTCCTGAACGAGGTTTTTGTCTGGTGGCATAGATTGCCGAGGAGGGTGAATTTCTTGAAGAATTTCTGGTCCAATACTTCGGGAGAAGAGAGTGTGAAGAACCAGTTGTTCGGGTCGGACCCTCCGAAGTTGTATTCGATCCATTATATTGGGTTGAAGCCGTGGCAGTGTTATAGGGACTATGATTGTAATTGGGATATAGGGACTCAGAGAGTGTATGCGAGTGACGTGGCGCATAGGAGGTGGTGGAAGGTTCATGACGCCATGGGAGAGAGGTTGCAGAAGCTTTGTGGGTTGTCGGAGAGGAGGAAGATTGAGTTGGAATGGGATAGGAAGAAGGCTAGGGAAATGGGTTTGCCCGATCACCACTGTTGGATCAATGTTACTGATCCGAGACGGTTCAATTGATTGGCATTCGAGGGAATTTTTTTGTTTGTTTTTTTGGGGGTATTGTAAAATCACATAAATGGCATGCTATAATTTTTCCATGCTATGAGTGGAGTGGGAGTTGAAATTGAATTTTTTTTTTTTTAGGCACTTTGGAATGTTCAGCAGAAAGAAAATAATAATAAAAATAAATCATATCACAGCAGTGGTAATTATATGATTAAATTAATAACAAGTGAATTGATTATATAAAAAAATTTATATGGTAATTATATGATTGAATTAATACAGTGGTGCTAGGGACCCCCAGTGGGGGCACCCCCAGCACCCCCAGTAAGCAAAAAAATTTTTTTTTTTTTTTTTTTCTTTTCCTTCCAATCACCCAATGCCACGTGGCATTGGGGGTCACTGGGGGTCGGTTTTAGTGGGGGTCTAAGGCATTTTTCGAATTAATAACAATGAAGAGATATTCACTTAAGTTTATTTATGATATTTATTATTCAGTGATATCATTTCACCCAATATCTGCTCATCTAAAAGGCTTAAATTTTAGAAAAATGCTTGGGACCTCTAATTAGAGGTACCACTAGTGATGTGGCAGTGGATCCCACCCACTGCCACATCAGTGCTGTGTCTTGGTTTTTTTTTTTTTTTTTTTGTGGCCTTTTCCACCTCATTAGAGGTGTGTTTAGAGCCTCTAAATTAGAGGTCTCTAGCATTGCCCTAAATTTTATTTACAAAAATGATTTGGAATTTTAAAAAGAGAGTTAGGACAGCTTTAATACAATAAGTTCTACTTGTAATGTTATGTGTGTCTATATATATATTTTTTGAAAAATGCTTGGGAGCACTACTAATTAGATGGCAGTGGGTCCCGTCATTAATGATGTGATGTTTTAGTCTTGGAGTTGTATTTTTTTTTTTTTTTACTTTTTTAATGCATTAGTGCTATTAGTGGTGATGTTTTTAGTGGGATGAATCATTGTTGATATTTTTTTCCTTGCCAGCTCAAATTAGAGCTCAACTTTTAGAATTTTGTATCATTGCCCCTTTATTTATTTGTTTATTAAACTGATGCATTCTTTAAAAATAAAAGGAAACACTATTTATTACTGCATTTACTTTTAAGTATTCATACAATTAATATCATGAGTATATGTAGGGCGCACCATATTTATTGAACTTTGAAACACATCATTACATATGAAAACAAATGAGAAGTTTAATAAAATATTAGGTCCTCTATAAACAACCTAAAAAAAATAGTATAGAAGCTCCCCAACATCCTTATGAAGTTGATGCAAAATTGACAATAGAGCTATAAATAAAGAAAAATATCACGTGAAAAATGAAACATAAATTTATAAATAGGTAAAAATCTTTGTGTAAGTTTTTAATGTATTTTCAAACAAATTAAAAATTTACACCCCACCTATTTATAAAGCTTACACCTGCCATAACAATTCAAAAAGGAAAATGTCTCGTAACTCAAATTTTGTAGCTCAAAAGTGGCTCAAATGGCCAAAACGACGTCGTTTTGGCCATTTTTATGTTGTTATGTACTCAAAACGACGTCGTTTTTGCCATTTGAGCCACTTTTGAGCCACAAAATTTGAGCTACGTAACATTATCGATTCAAAAATGACCAGAGAGGACTTTTTTTTTTTGGTTCCTTTTGTGTACCATGGAGAGTTTTCAAGACTCTAGTATGATCACTATTCACTACTCCCAAGAAGTTTCATAATCATGTTTGAACCTTCTTATTTTTATAATGATATAATAATACTTTTAATCAATGGGGCTAAACTACGCTATGATAGATAATAGAGAGTTTTCCACTTGATAATCTACTCTTTTTTAGACAAATTGCACTGGCTAAATTGACTAATAATTTGATTAATTATGTCCATGGTGTGAAGATAAATAATGTAGATTGGGTAGGGGAAAAGACATAACTTTGAATAAAATATGATTGGGTACTGGGGCAAGAATATTATGAATTATATCTATATATATTGAAACAAAGAATCAGAAGACAAAAAAAAGATGGCGTTGGTTGAGCAGGTGCACCTAACGAAGCGCAAAAAAAATTTCATCCCGTGGTGCACCAAATCATAGAGTTTTGTCGACACATATATTATTAAGAATAATATAATGTAGTTAATATAAATCATTAGGTATTGAAAAAACTTGTAATGTTGATTGACAACCATTGTCGGTAGAAACTTAAAATAAAATAAAGAATATTTGTAGTTTAAATTTATTTCTTGTATGGTAAAATTCATACATACAATTAATCTGAATCATATATTAATTTTTTTCAAATAAAATTATAATTTTGTAGTATTGGTGAAAAAATTCATGTAACCATTAGAAAAAAGAGACTTTTGGTTTGTCTTTTCGGAGACAATTTAAAAAAAAAAATTCAAAAATTTATTTGGTTGAAAATTTTTAAAAAAATAAAAACTAAAAGTTACTTTTCTCTCTACTATATAGTGGTCACTCGTGCGATGCACGGGATTTTAAAAAGTCAATAATTATTAAAAAATAAATTCCTATTTGATTGTATTTTATAATATTTTTATTTAATTTGTGTATGTAAATCTTACTTCACATCATTAAAAATATTTAATATTTCACATTATTGAAATTTTTTAAAAACTATCATATATTAAGTAAGTCATCATATATATAACAGCTAATTTATCTAAGAATTACTTCAGACAACCAAAGTAGAGTAACAAAGACATTATAATTAATCAAAATGACTAATGTTAAATAAAAGTAACACTAATTTTGTTTAATCAATAGTAGGTATTATATTAATCATCCCATTTTAGTAGTTAAACTTTTTTTGCATGCTATTTGTTTTTCGGTGGATTCACTGAAAATAGTCCTATCCAGACATCTAATCCCATGAAAAAACAAACACAGGATACATATCCAATCCGACCAAATAGTCCGGGTGATTCACAGTCCCAGGACTCAAGTCCGATGGATTCTAATCCCCCCTTTTCCAGTCCGTCCAATCAAACACGCCCTTAAAGTATAAACTTATATCCAATCAATTTTGATGTGTTCTTCATTTTCAATCTAACATCTGCACCAAAAAAAATAAAATTAAATACAATCAATAAGTGAGAGAGTTACAAATTGATAATAGTAGTGCTTTTAAAAGAAAAAAAAATAGAATAAAATCTCAATTAAGTAACACATTATTAACAAAAAGAAAGAAATAAAGAAAAATACAGATTGTAACAAAAAAATAATAATAATTAAATAATAATATCCATTTACATAAACTTACTTTCTCACAAATGTAAAAACTCATGCAAGTACACATTTCAAATGTAAAGCAAATATTTAAGATTTTTCGGCACTGAAAAGAGATCAGAAATGACTCAATATTGATTGTTTCCCCCCTCCCCCACACCCTAATCTTCTGTTCATGGTTTTATTTGTAGTAACTTGTTTTTATATTGAAAAGATTATACTTAGACAAAAAATATATATGGAATTGTATTCTATGGATAATTAATTGATAATTTCAAAAGAAAAAATATTAAGTTCAACTTGAAGATAAACTTTAAAAAGATTAAACTAAAATATATAAGAATTCTATAACAAACTAACAAAAGATAAATATAGATCATTAAAAAAATTATTATCTTTTTGAGATATTTATATCCCAATCTTAATATTTTTTTATTTAAATATTTTGTTATCTTTTATTTGAATTTTCATTTTATAATTCAAATCTAAATAGTTATATTTTTATTTTTGTATATTTTTTTCATCTCTATTTTTTTTTTTTGTTATTCATACATAAATAGTTATTTATTTTATAAAGTATTTAACTCCTAATATTTTTTATTTGAATATTAATCTTGTATTTGAAGTTTTATCAATTCAAAATATCGAATTGTATTAAATTTAAACTTTATATGGATAATTAATTGATGATTTTAAAAGGTAAAATAATAAGTTAAACTTGAAGATAAAATTTAAAAAGATTAAGCTGAAATATATGGAAATTCTACAACAAACTCATAGAATATAAATATAAATCTTTAAAAAAATTATTATCTTTCTGGGATTTATATCTCAAACTTAATATTTTTAATTTAAATGTTTTTTTTATCTTTTATTTGCATTTTTATTTATGTAATTTTATTAGATTTTAAATTTATATGGATAATTAATTAATGATTTTAAATGATAAAATATTAAGTTCAACTTGAAGATAAACTTTAAAAAGATTTAGCCAAAATATATGAAAATTCTACAACAACCTCACATAAGGTAAATATAGATTGTTAAAAACTTTATCATGTTTTTTAAATTTATATCTTAATCTTAATCTTTTTTGTTTAAATATTTTTTATCGTTTATTTGAATTTTTATTTTTCAGTTCAAATCTAAATAGTTATATATATTTTTATCTCTATTTTTTTGTTCATATATAAATAATTATCTTTTTATTTTAAAATTTATTTGACTCGTAATATTTTTTTATTGTTCATATATAAATAGTTAACTTTTTATTTTTAAAATTAATTGACTCATAATATTTTTTATTTTATTATTTTTTAATCGTTTATTTGACTCTTTATATTATTTTGTGATTGAAATTTGAATAGGTATCTTTTTATTTTATTTTTTTATATTTTTATCTCTACCTTTTTGTTGTTCATATCTAAATATTTATCATTATTTAAATATATTTAATCCCTTTGGCTTTTAAGATTTAGATAATGGACAAATGATTAAAAATTAAGAGAGTGGGAGAGAAGACTTGAGAGGTAACACATAAGAGAGATAATTCATAAGAGTTTAGTATTAAGAGTTTGGAGAATTCTCATACTCTACTACATTTGCTTATATAGATAGTATAGATGCCAATCAATCCCTTTTTCTGTCTCTTCTCTCCTCTCATATCCTACGCATCAATCAATCGTATTTTCTCTCATACTCATCTATTCAACTAAAAATAAATAAATAACTAAATCATCTAAAATTTCAAAAATCCAAAACACCAATTTGGCTAGTGTGGCTGTATAGAAATTTGTTTGAAGAGCCAATGAGCCAACATTAAGATCTAAACTGAGTGTTGGGGGGACTTATGTTATTATCC